TCTCTCTCTCTCTCTCTCTCTCCCTCTCTCTCTCTCTCTCTCTCTCTCTCTCTCTCTCTCTCGGTGTGTGCGAGAGACCTCCACAGTTATTTCTCTGAAGAAGGACAAATGGCCACTAATCCCACAAAAGAGTGGGTCACCCCATGTGCCATCAGGAAAATACAAATCAAAGTCATGTGGGATCCCCTCACACACTTCACACCCACCAACATGGAAACAATTTAAAGACAGCAGCAAGCGTTGGCCAGAATGTGCAGCAACTGGAACCCTCGTCCCCTGCTGGAAAGACGTCCATGGTGGCTGCTTTGGGAAGGGCCTGGGTTTCCCCCATCTTCAGTACCCACACACCAGTTGCCACCTATGCGCCAGTTGATACCATAGCCTCATTTTGCAGAGGAGCGTGAAGCTGGGAGGGGCGGAGCGAGCCTGGAGACGGTAGGAGGTGCTGGCTGGAGCAGCTCAGGCCTCGCAAGCAGCCCCAGTCCTGGTTACTGTGCTTGGGCAGCCAGGGTCCCCTCTACAAGACGCATCCCTTTTAAAGTCTCCCTATTCAGCTACCTCCCAGACACAGCGAATGGAAGAGTTCAGGGAAAAGGCCTTGGGCTGCCAGATCATGGTAAGTGCTCTGGAACTGTGAGCGACAAAAGCCCGAGGTCACAGCCGGAAGGGGCAGCGGTGGATTCACCCCCACACCTGACTCTCCCAGCATCTGGAACAAACACTAATTAGTAAGCAGCCTGTGCAAATGAATAGCTCCACACTGAACGAATTGATCTCTCGAATCCAATGATCAGCAACCCACCTTCTCACTCAGGGAGTGTCCCATATCCCCCTGCCTTCTGTTCACTAGATGACCAACTTGGTTTGAACAGCCCCTAAATCCCCGCTAGGGCAGAAACTTTAAAAAAAAAAAAAAAAACCCTTTGGGCTACACTCTGCTGCAGGGGCCATACAGCGGCTGGCCTGCAGGTGGCAGCACAAGCCCACTGAGCTTTCCAAACCACACAGACCCCAGCCACTGAGCATGCTCCGACTGCGGACCTCAGGAGGAAGCCCAGAGCGCCGGCAGTCCAGGTTCTGGCGGCATTGCAGTCACTGTGGCTTCCAGCCACCTTCTGTGGACTGTGGGCTTCCGGAGCATTAGTTCATTGAATTCTCAACACGACCCATTTCCCAGAGGAGGAAACAGGCAGAAAGGGGCAAAGTGACCTGCTCAGGGATATTTAACCACTGCTGGCCACTAAAACCTTTCCCACAGCACCCCCAGGCCTGGAGACAGCAAGCTGCTTCATGCTTCCATGAGGCCCGCAAGGATGGGGCCCACGCAGCAGTGCAGGAGCCCAGCGCTCCCACGGGGCCGTCAAACTCCAGGCCCGCCCTGCAGCCGGCCAGTGGGAACAAGGGTGGCGTTCGCACCATGTGTCGGGCCTGGATGTTCCCATCCTTGCTGCAGCGGAGAGTGCCCTGGGGACCTGCCCAGGCTGGCCGTGAGCTGCACTCCGGCTGGGGCCCCTCCTGGAGGCCAGGGCTGGGCAGTGCGTGCCCTGGGCCTCTGCTCCTGAGCCCCTGCCCTCCCGCGGCTCTGACCCAGGCTGCCCGCAGTGCCGGCATCGGAGGCATCAGCCCGAACTGACTTATTTGACAGTGGGGGACACCGAGGCAGGGAACTAGCTGATGACAACTGGGACAAGAAAACAGGTGTCCTGATGCCACGATGCAGGCTTCTTTTCCTTGCACGATCCTGCCATGGCGAAGTCACATTTAATTCATTTTTCTTCCCAATTCCTGCTTATCCAGCAATGAGCTCGAGCTGGTGCCACGCAGCAGACTCAGTCATTGTCCCAGGGCAGCCCTGCCCTGCTCCTGGCTTCATCCCAGGGCAGAGACCACACCCCCCGTGCACAGAAAGGAAATGAGGCTGAGAGGGCCCACCCGGCCAGTGCACCCCCAACCTGTCAGAGTACGGGAGACAGGGCCAGTCTGAGCCACTGCCACAGCCATAAGGGCCTGTGGAGAGTGACAAGCTGTAGGGAGACCCAGGGAGGGACTCTGGGCTAGAGAAGACTTCACATACAAACCGAGGACACTGAAATAACTATGGACTTCACAATCCTGACACTCTTGTAGCCACTCAACAAACCCAACAATGTATTAATGTTGGCTTGCTAATGGTGACACATGTACCATATGGATGCAGGATATTAGTAACTGTGTGGACAAAGTGTTGCCTTTAGAAGCTCTCTGTATTATCTGCTCAATGTTCCTAAATCCAGACCTGCTCCAAAAGAGAAAGTCTACTAAAAAAAAATGGGGGTTCTCAGTACATGCTTACCATGAGGAAGTGGAAGATGCTTGGGGTTCTAGGTCCCCAGGAAGACATAAGTTCCGAGGGGGCAGGTCCTTCTGGCAGTTTCCTACAGTGTAGGTTCCTTAGAGTAGAGCAATCTCGCTGTTACAGAGAGTACTTGGAGTTTGTTGAATGACTATAAGAGTTTCGGGCTTGGCTGCATGTTATCCACACAGGCTAACTCACAGAGCATACTGCGCCTGCCTGCTCCACCCCGACACATGTAGGAATGCCAGTGCTTTCAGCAATTCAAACATAGGGCTGAATAGTTGGGAGGAAAAACTTACACTGTGGCTGGAAGGTAAGGCATGATGGGCACGGAGGAGATGTAGGTAAAGGCTGGAGGAGCTGGTGCTGGGGGTGCAGCTGCCAGGTACCACAGTCCAGGGGGTGGCCGTGCCGGGGAGCCTGCCTGCTTGCTCCTCTGCCTGGGGCTGGAAGCTGGAGGTGCGTCTCTCCGAGCGGCTGCCTTGTCTGCGCCTGCCAGGGAGGCAAAGCCACAGAGACATGGTCTGAGCGCGTGGGCAGGGCGGACAGAGAATGGTGGGTGCCCCAGCACCCGGCCCCTGATGGGTGGTGACCCCTCTGCTCATCTGCCACGCCCCAGCTGGACTGGCCAGGCCCCCAAGCCAAGCTGGGATCCGGCCGAGAGCAGGCTCCAAGCACTTGTCCCTACCAGAGGTGGCTGAGCTTGGACCGTCTCCCTCTGGAAGGGACCCTCCTTGGCCGCACAGGGGACATCGGAGGGTGTCAGTGGCAGACCGGCGCAGTGGGTCTTGGGCAGCAGCTCCTGGAAGAGAGATCAGAAGAGGGTTCCGTCTGCAGCATCAGGCCTAAGCCCCCACACCCCTACCAGGCCCTCAGAGCACTGAGATCTCCTTGGGAGCTGCGGCAGAGGGGACTGCTGCCTGCTTCCCCCCAGGGCACTATACTGATGCCAGCCTTGATGGCGGAAGATGGCACTGAACGAGCTCACTCTCTACTGAGGGCCTTTGTGCATTATTTTATCAAATCCCACTGGCCACTGGGCTGGCTGCTCTGCTCACTCCCTATTCCAAGGTGGAGAAACGGAGGCTCCAAGAGTGTTATGGCTTAGATCTAGACTGTCCCCTGACAGCTTCATGTGCTCAGAGTTGGCACTTTTGTAAGATGACTGAAGGGGTGCTGGACTCATCAGTGTTGTGGTTGAGTTTATTGCTAAATGTACTGTCAGGCAGCGGGGCTGGGTTGGAGGAGGAGTGTCCCTGGGCTGAGCCTCTGGCGGGTGTGTCTGCCTCCCTAGCTGCTGCTTTCCCTCTTTGCTTCCTGGCCGCCATGAGGTGAGCAGTTTTCATCCACTGCACACTGCACCATGATGCTTCTGCCACGGAGCCAGCTGCCCATGGACCAAATCCCCCACAACTGTGAGCCAAATATTAGTACCAGAGAAATGGGCTCTCTGCTGTGACTGCACCTGACCGTGTAGTTCAGAAGCCTTTGGAACTGCCTTGTGGGGAGAGTTTGAAAAGGGTTGGAGGTAGAGGTGAGAAAAGCTGTGGAATGCTTGAAACAGAACTTGCTGAGAGATGCTAGTCAGAGCTCAGAAGACCAGAATACTGATAGGAATGAGGCCAGTAAAGGCCAGGTTCATGAGGTTCCAGGGCTCTGCCGGCAGTAAGAATAGAGGCCATGTGTGCTGTGGCAGAAAAGTTGTCTACATTTTGCCAATGTCCTGAGAATTTGCAGGAGACTAAGATTAAGGGTAATATTAATTAATTAATTAATTAATCTGGTGGAGGACATGTCAAGAGAGCTCAACATTTAGCCTGTGGCATAGGTGCTAGTGGCTTCTTTTAGCCATATTTATAGTGAGGACCAGAGCAAAGGCAGAACATAAAAATTTGGCCCACAAGGAACCGTGTGTAAAGACAAGTGAGTATACACAGACATGGTAGCTAAGCATCAGGGCTCTGCAGTATGAAGACCTGGATTCAAACCTTGCCTCTCTCATGTACTTAATCTCTCCAAGCCTCAGTTACAAAATGGACATAATAGTAACACTTCATAGCGGGCTGGGGATTTAGCTCAGCAGCACAGTGCCTGCCTGGCAAGCGCAAGGTCGTGAGTTCGACTCCCGGTACTGGAAAAAAAAAAAAAAAAAAAAAAAAAAAAGTAACAGTTCATAAAAATGTGACCATTAACACAGATAAAACCCTTGGCATGATTCCCTGTGTACAGTAGGAGCCTAATAAATTGCAGTTTCCTTATTATCATTGCTGCTGCTTGAAAAGGCCTCAGAGACTCTCCCAACCTTCTCATTTTGGATGAGAACTTGAGGCTCAGAGAAGTCAAGAACTGGCCTAAGATCACACAGCAATTCAGTGGCAGAAGTGGGATCAGAAAACAGGGCCTGGGTTCTCAGGCCACTGCTCTCCCACCACTTGTCACTGCTGGGTACTGGGGGAAGGACAAGAAGTGGAGGAAACAGAGGGGAGATGAGGCACTGTCACTCTTGCAGCTGCCCTGCTGGTGCCCCATCCACCCACCAGGAACTCAGGAAGCCCTTAAATGATGGACAGCAGGTCCAGGTAGCAGCCTCTGGAGCAGGAGGTGGTGCAGGACAGGGCTGGCTGAGCTCAGTAAAGCCCATTTCTCTCGTCTGTGCCTCTGACAACCTGGGCAGGGCCGGCTATACAGCGCCCCCTAGAGAGCAGCTACAGCCTCAGTCACCCCATCTCCACCCCTTACCTGTGTCCTGGGTCCTAACGGGCTGGCAGTGGGCACAGGAGGCTGAGCTGCTGCCTCTCAGGATGGCCTTAGAGGACGGGACATGGTACTTCTGGCCTGGGTGGGGGGGCGGGTGGGGACAAAAGCCATGAGCATCCGTCCCCGTGAAGATGCAGAGCCAGGGAGGATCCTGGCTTCACAATCACACTCTTCCTCCTCCCCTAATAGTCACTCCCCATCTGTCTCTCATGTGCAGCCATGAGCATACACATACCATGCAAGCTCACACACATGCACGCGAGTGTACACGTATGCACATGCGTAAAACACACGCACTGTTTACTGCGAGCTTTCTGCAGACTCTGGGCCTAGAAGCAGCTGCGGAGCGCTTCCCAACAAGGAAGCGATCCACACACACCGCCAGCCAAACCAGGATGTAAACTGGAGGTCGTGGCAAAGGGGGACACTCTTCCAGACCCCAATGCACTGACGGGGATCTGAGTGGCTCGGGCCAGGGGTCCATGGGTTTGTTTACTCCCTGCGCTCTGGGTGGCTGTGAAAGTGGGGACATCATGGCACCAGGCTCCTAGGCTTGTGGGAAGGATTCATGGGATAATATCTGTGGGGTCACATCCTGTGCCTGGCAGATGGAAAACCCTCGATGCCACGAAAAAGCTCTTGGGCCCTGAACAAATCCTGCTCCTCCTGCCCTCAAGTTTCCACGACCTAAGCCACTGCGAGAAGATGCCTGATCGTTTTCCTCCCTGAACTGGGTGCTGTGCTGGGTGGTCCCAGTTTCTGCTGCATGTGGCTCTGGAGCCCTGCACTGCTGGCTGCCCTCACTGGGACTACTTAGCCTCTGTTGTCTACTTCGTGACACATTCCAGATGAGCCTCCCTTCCTGCCTCATTCCCAGCATGCAGGGGAGCTGTGGACAGCCGCCCTCCTCGCTCGGAGAGGTGCTGGTGACAGCCACACCGCACTTACTGTCGTTACTTGTCATCGCCTCTGCCGGCAGTCAGTTTCACCCAGGTGGAAACCAAGTGTGCACTTTTTCAATGTTAAGCACTTAAAAGTGCTACTAGGTGCCACTGCGGGCCATACTCAGGTAAAGCCAGGTTCCGGGTCATGGAAAAGGTCAGCTGCTGGGAGCTGCAACCTGAGGCTAAGCAAGATGCAAAGATTGCAACGTTCCGTGTTCACCCAGGCCCGGCAGCGTAGTTCGTGTGCCTGACTGGCTGAGCAAATGGGTTAGGTTCTCCCGGAGCCAAGTCTGCCCATAATGAATGAAAACGCAGGTGTCCAGGTACACAGAGCCCCGGCCTGACATTCCTCCCATCACGGACACCAGGTCTCAGTGGCCCACTGCCTACACGGCAAAGTGTGCCATGGCAGAGGAGGCCCCTGGGCGCTGCTCCCACTCCCGCCACCCCCTCCTGGCCCACCTGTGTACTGGCCCTGGAAAGAGACCCTGTCTGGCCGTCTGGTACTGCTTGTTCCTCTCGTGCTGTCCAGAGCCGTGTGGGGACTGTCCTCGGAGGTCCTGATCTTCCCAGATGGCAGTTGGGGGGAGGAGGGTTCAGATTCCGAACCTGGGGTGGAGAGAGAGCAGCTTCAGAGTGGGTGGAGTGGAGGGCGCACAGCTTGGGGCATGAGCCATGGCAGGTTCGAGCTCTAGGACGATGTCCTCCTCCTTACTGGGGATTTGCTTCCTGGGAATACAGCCCATACCTCCAGCTAGCAATCTCTCGAACCCCTCAGCAGGGGGACAGCCTGGCCCAGGACAGTGAGCAGAGCTGGGGTCAACCTGCAGGGAGTCTGGGGCCACACCATCTGTCAAGTCTGGGTGCTCTTTGGGGCTCAGTGTCCTCATCTGCAGGTGGTGGACCACCGAGGCGCATATCCTAAGCCCTGCAGACAGCGGGCGTGTGACACACAGTGGCTACTACTAGAAGTGCATCATGTCTCAGTATATGCCAGTGGCTCGCAAAGTACCACCACCGCCTTCTGATCTGCAAGGCTGCTGCTGGGCTCCCCGGCCACTGAGCTTGCACGCCCTTCACGGCCTCTGGAAGTCAGTTCCGGCCGGCAGTTACTTACTCAGGGACAGTCGGGGTACCTCCCGAGGCACAGAGGAGGACCGGGTACGTTGTCTGCTTGCAGACCAAGCTCGCTGTGTACCTTCGGGCTCTCTGGACAACCTCTCTGTAGATTTACTAGCAACAGGGAAGAGAGACAGTGTCACTGGGTGAGAGTCCATGCAGCCTTCATATGAGCCATGAAAAGGCCAACCTAGAGAAGTGCTTGTGACACAGTGGGAGGAAGAGCACGCAGAGGTCAAACCAGACTTGAGCCAGTCTCATGGGTAATGGCTCTGGGCCTCTCTGACCCTCAGTTTCCTCATCTGTCAAATGGGGATGAGAAAAACAATGACTATAGAGGATGACTAGAAAGATTAATGGGATAATATTTATAAAACTCTTAACTCAGGACCCTCCATCAAAACACTCAGAAGAAGTGATCTGACTTTCCAAGTCATCTTCACAAATGAATGGCTACTGACCAAGTGTGTGAGCAACCCGCAGAAGGTCTCGCTCTGCAGTTAGGAAGGTGATTCTGGAATATTCTTTGTCTAATGCTTTATTATGAACACGTGACTTTAGATGTTCTTTTATGCATCAAGTACTACATAGCAGAAAAACAGAGTGAATAAATGATGGAGTGAATGCATGACAGCGTAGTGGCAGCGGTTGAGCCTGGCGGCTGCAGGGAGCCAGGGGCCACTCTGTCTTCTACAGCCACCGCCAGGGCATAGAGGTCACCCACCTGCTCCCATGAGAGCCCCAGGTGGCTGAAGAGTTGGTAGGTTGGTCCTGGGTCCAGGTAGGACGGTCAAAGGCAGATGCCCGCTGTGCTGGGTTGTGCTGGGGAGGCTGTTGCAGGCTGTCTTCCAGCCGCAGACGGAGCCGCGACACCTCTGCTTGCAGCTCGAGGATCGCCTGGCTGGGGTGGGGGAGGGGACAGAAGCACAGAACAGATGGGTAAGGAGCAGAGCCACAGAGACCTGAGAGCTTCCCAGATGCAGAGGCCTCCACCATGCTGCAGCGGGCACAGGCTCAACCTCTGCCGCCCAGTGATTCTGGGACTGTGCTGTTCGCCTACAGTACACGTCTTGACACCTGAGTTCAGTCCGTGTGCCTTCCGTGAGCACCTGGGAACCTTCCTTTGAAGACAGCCTTCCCAACAGGCAGGAAACACCGTGATGAATTCCCAAGACGCAGATGAGGGTGCACCGGCTAATCATCCACTTGAAACTCTCCATGCTGACTGCCCCGCCCTGGGCCATCTTCTCTCGCTCTGCCTTTCTCCTAGGGAACCCTGATGAAGCGGCTGGGCCTGGCCCCTCTGCCCTTGCTTAGACCCTTTCTTGGCCTCCCTTTCTACTGTTCAGCTCTCCACTCCTGGCAGAAGACGCTCACCTGTGTCCCCAGCCCTGAGCCACTGGCAAGCAGGGACCAGGTTTCCCTACCTCCTGTCCCCAGAGACCCGTGCTCCTCACAGGTCCTGGCAGCATTACTGAACCAGAGCCGGCTGTAAGAGGGAGCAGGGTAATGGGTGTGTGTGGAGCACAGGCAAGAAGATGGGGAGCTTCCAGCACTATGGGACTGAGGGCGGGACAGGCAGGGTGCTGCGTGACCCTGTGAGGCCCCCAAACTTAGCCCAACTTCTTGTTCACAAGGCTGGGGAGCAGTCCTGACTCAGTCCCTGCACTGCTGGGGTCACCCTGTAGACCCTGTCAGCACCATGGTGGATAATGCCACCCAGACATCCTGCCTGCAAGATGCCCTCCCATGGCCCAGCCAGCCCCCGTGGGCTGCTGTGGGCTCTGAATCCACTCCACAGTGGCTTCCGGGGCTCCCCTTGGGGTCAGTTCTTGCCTGGTGCCACCTCCAGCATACATGGGCTGTCCGATGAGTGTACAGGAGGCATGGAGACCTGGCCCTGGCCCTGTAGCATGGCCTGTGTACAGAGGGAGTCGGTTTCCCTGGCAATCCCTAGGGTGACGCTTGTTGGGGCCTCGGGACACTCGTTAACCCCTGAGAGCCAGGGCTCTGGCTGCTGGCCGGGAACTTGGGATGCCCACTCGGGCTGGCAAGTGGGCATCACTGCCCCTCTCTGAGCTGTTTCCCAATCTGCCTAACTTTAACTCTTTAGTCCCTGAGTCCCAGCTCACACTGAGACTCATCGTTCCCTGCAAACTTGCTCCCCCACTCTGCCCAAGGCATGAGCAGCCAGCTGACTTCCCGGCGGGAGCTGGAGTCCTTCTAGATCCTTCTCCTCCCTGGATACCTCCGGGGCCATCCAGCTTCTCAGGGGGAGGGTGCTCCTTCTCTCACTGCCCCTTGGCCTCTCCTCGGCACTCCCTCAGATCTGTGTTTCTGCTGAGTGGTCAAAGAGTTCTTTCTAAAACCCAAACCCAACCCACTAAAACCCCTTGCCATGCTGGGGAGGAGACCGCACTCACGGAGCGTTCAGTAAGTGCTTGTCTGTACCAAGCTGCTGTTCCAAGCTGCATGCGTGGCATTCGAGGCCCTGTAAGGTCTCCCCTGGCTGCTTCCCTGCATTTCCGCTCAACATCCACCCCCTCACACTCAAGGATCACCTGTCATGAACAGCCGGCTCTTTGGAGGAGACAAGCGCTCTTGCTCGCTTGCTCCCAGGGCTCTGCACATGCTGGTCCCTCAGCAGTGCTCTTCTATGGCTCGTCCTTTCGTCTCTGCTGAGATTCCGTTTCCTCCTCCCCGAAGCCTCCAACCCTGTGCTTGCACAGCCGAGGCCTCTCCACCTCTCTCCTCATCAGGCAGGTGCACCGCCTGCTTGTCCCCTGTCTTGTTCCCAAGGTCAGGCATACACAGGCGAATGTGCCCTCACTGACGCCAGGGAGGCTGCCGGGCAGACACCGTCCCCTCGGACCAGTCCACCAAACACTGGCTGCTGGCCATGACCGTGCACATGGAAATGTGGCCGCAAAGGCCAAGGTGGACTCGGGTCCCACAAGCAGCCTCTCCAGGGAGCTGATAGCCCATCCTGAGATGGCACGGGGCTGACCATCTGCCTCCCTACTCATGTGCAATCGGAGAAGAGAGCAGGAGAGGGGAGAAGGCAGAAGGAAGAGGAGCAAAGGGAGCATGAAGGAACACTCTCTCTCTCTCTCTCTCTCTCTCTTTCTCTCTCTCTCTCAGTTGCTAGAGACAAAGAAGAACCAACTGTAGAACACAGATCCCTGGCAGCACAGGTGCACCTTGAAGGGAAATGTTGGAGGTAGGGGAGATCTAGCACCTCTGGGACATTTCCTGTTGGCTGGCGAAGTGTCCTCAAAGTCTGGCTCAGTGAGGTCCCGCAGGAATAGCTTTCATTTGGGAGGAAGGACACCTGGGTCCGCTCTTGGGTAAGCTGGGCGGGGCCACCTCCCTGTTCCACAGTCCCCTCTGCTCTGCTGTGTGAGTGTGAATTATGCGACTTACTCTCGCTCTGTTCTGGTGAGGAGGAGGTCGGGGCTGGTCTCTGCTGATCCGGGGGGTGGTGGGGCAGCCCCAGGGACCTGCGTGGGCTCGGGGTTGGTTGTCCTGCTGGGCAGGAGCTGTTCAGGAATCCTCTTGCGGCTCTGGAACTCCGAGCCAGGGACCCCTAGTGAGGCAGAGAGAGGCCAACGTGAGTTGAAGCAGAAAGTTCCCTCAAAGCTTCAAGATGAGACGTGGGGTGGGATGGCGGTGGGGTGAGGGATGAGGAGATGGTGCTCAGTTGGGGTCCCAAGTGCAGGTCCTGACCAGGCCGATGACCTCAAAAGCAGACATTCTGGTTTGTGCCAAGAGTGTGGGGTGCCCAGGTGCTTCAAGGACCTCCCCATCCCCGTTAGACCACAGACCCAAGTCTTCAGGACCCCATTCCTGCCACAGGAGGTCACTGCTCCTTGCGGTGGCACCCCCAGACTCTGTCACCACCTCAACACGTCATCCCGGGACTGGCTTCAGAACTCTGCCCCCTCTTTAGGTGCCTGCTTCTGGGGACAGCAAGAGACACTCCGAGCTCTCAGAGGACAGGCCAGAGACCAAACCGCCACGCTGGCCCAGGCACAGCAAAACGGCCTGTGGGTGCTCTGAGCACTGCGTAAGGGACAAACTCCTGATAGCCAGAAGGATCACAGCGAACCTCTAGAAAACCATGCAGAGTGCAAGAGCCGAGCCCAAGAGCTACACACTCTGCGATGCTGTTCATACGACACCCTTGAAACAACAAAATGGTAGCAGTGGAGCGCTTGCTGGGAAGGGTAGGGTGTGGGCAGGGAAAAGGAACTGAGAGGTCTGTATCTTGACTGAATGTCAACGGCTGGCTACGACACTGCCTACACTCTTGTCAGAGATATTATCACTGGGAGAAATGGGAGGCTGTGGGCTGTCCGTGCATTTATTTCCTCTTACAGCTGCACGCCAATCCACAGTTTTCTCAAGCAGTTCAACTAAGAGTCGTTTTAAATGTTGAATCTCAAAAAGAGGCAAAGCTAACTTGGGGTGTCCTGTTTGGGGGCGCAGGGACAGAAGACGCTGACCTTGCTGAGTCTTGGCCTGGATTCACTCTGTGAAAATTCACTGGTTTATGCTCTCTTCCGGATGTTTGTTTTATTTCAGGAAAAAGTTCGTGTGCATTTTTTAAAGGTAAAAGATCGAACTGCGGATAGATCGCATAGAGATGGAATGTGTTCACCATACAGTGTCTAATAACAAAAAGGAAGAGGCTGCCAAACATACACGTAGAACATGTGCCGTTTCTGTGCCATATGTAAACAAACACGCAAGGCTAGCGGTGTGGAAAATCCTTCACGGGTTTTTTTTTCTTTCCTTACTTTTTGTCCACCCTATCTGTAATTTTAGACTTTCCTGCATCAGCCTATATAGTACTTTGAATCCTAAGTGTAATGCCAGGTTTCCTGTTTCTCCATTTTTCCATCTCTGCAGTCTAGCTGGGCCAGGTCCTGGGTGACCCAGCTCCCAGCCGACTCAGACCCACCCCCACTCACCGGTTGCCACCCCCCGTTCCAGGTGGGAGGCAGCTGTCCCGTGCTGGGGGTGACCGCTTGTGCCGGAGAGGAGCCGTGGGGCTCGGTGCCTGGGGGTGCTGGGCCCAGCCTCTCTCCTGGGGACCGGAGCACCCCTGCTCTTTGAGTGGGAGTTTCCGTTGTGGGGCACAGATGTGGCGACACGCTGGGCTAATCTTCCCGGAGTGCTGGGGGACAAGGGAGGGACAGACATGTGGTCACACACAGAGGCCTTGGGTAGTGGTAGCTGGGGCTGAGCTTCCCCGAAGAGCAGGACCTCAGAGGACACGCCCCTGTGATACAGCATGTCCTTCAGAAACTGTAGCAGCGAACCTGAGAACTCATATACAGGAAATAATAAAGCTCCACTTGCTTTTTAGAAAACAAAGGGAGTTCCTTATCCTTTCTTGGTGCACACTGGGGTTTCCAGGCGGGGCTACCCAGGGGCCTGCGCCCCTTTTGGTGGCCTCCGGTCCACAGTGTGGCTGTATCACCCCAGCCTCGCCCACCTCTCACCTAGCCTCCCCCTCCCTCTGGGTCCCAGCCTGGTCCCCAGGGAGCCACCCTGCATCCCTCTGTCTTTGGCTTCTCTTCCCCCCACACTCCCATCCCTAGAGCTGACGTTCAGTCGCCCATTGGGCGTTCCTTTGCTCAGCTACTATGAATTTCCCGGTTTGTTGCTAATGGGCCAAGTGACTGCGCCATTCTTTTCCCCTCTGACCTTTGCTCTGCTCTACACAAAACATGGGGAAAAGGAGCCCTGGTCAAGGTGAAAGGAGGCCCCATGACCGCCCAGACCATTGACCTCCAGCCTGGGCCATCACAGACACTTTGATTCCCAGGCTATCCCAGGTGTGACACTGAAGGAATAGTACTTTTTTTTTTTTTTTTTTTTTGGGTTTTGGTTTTTCTCCGGTACCAGGAACCGAACTCACGATGTTGCGCTTGCCAGGCAGGCACTTTGCCACTGAGCTAAATCCCCAGCCCCCTGAAGGAATAGTATTGAGATCCAGGATACCTGAGGTGGGAGAGCCGGTGCTCGGGGGTCTGGGTGAGGGGCGACACTCGGCTGGTTTCTGAGCCCACGAAACCACTGTCTGTCTCGGGGGAGGCCATCCAGGGCTCCTGAAAGAGGCAGTGTGCCTTTAAGTGTGAGGAATGTGCCTAGGCACCTGGGAAGCCCCTCCCCCTCTCAAATCCTGGCCTGGCGTCACATTCCAGAGGCTCCCAGCTCCTGCAGGAGAAGGAAGCCTGGAAGTTAGACCTGGAGGCCCAGGGCCAGCACTGTCCCACACAGGGACCCACATACTGAGAGGACCCTGAGCAAGTCTGGCTGCCCTCAGTGGCTGACTGAGCCCTGGGAGAGATGAGTTCACCCATGAGGGGTGGAGAGAGCAGAGAGGTTTATTCCAGTGTTCTCTGGCAAAGCCTGGAATGCCGTGATCTCCCCTGCTCGAAGAAACGCTCAGACTGAATGTATTGGAAAGAAAACACACTAAATATGCACAGCAGGCCCTCTGGGTCCTACGCAAGATGGAGAGGGCTCAGCAGGAGACACAGGCACTGTCCCTGTCATCCTGGGCAGGGGTGCCGTGCAGGGGTCTTGTGCAGGGCTGGTCAGAACTATGGTGTGTGTGTGTGTGCATGTGCGTGTGTGTGCATTTTCCTAAGAGCCTAAGTGTGAACGATTGCTACTTGGTGGCGATTGGGATTTCCAGGCACAGAGAAAACAGCGAAGAGCCACAGCGCTCAAAGGAAGAACAAGAGTCCTGGCAGAGGACAGGCTGCATGGTACAGGGCATCCTGAAGGGCAGCACTGTGGCTGGTAGGGGCAGGAGCAGCAGCCCTTCTGAGAGAGGTCGGCACGTGACAAAGCCCAGAAACAGAGGGTTCATTAGGCCCAGGGAGAGGCCCTGAGGCTCTGAGCCCAGCCCAGGGGCACCAACCTGATGCAGAGTCTTCTGTGCGAGGTGCTCGGAGAGGCCACTCCCCTCCAGGCTGCTCAGGCTGCTCTGGTGAGATGCTTCAGCCTTGGTGCCTGCTGGGTTGCGGGGAGCTGCCTCAGTTTTACCCAAGCCTGGCAGGCGCCTGTGTCTTGCCTGGGAGGTCTGGAAACCTGGCGGCTTCCTGGAGACCGTCTGCTCCACATTCCCCCTGCAGGAAGGAGAAACACATCATCCCTGACAGCTGGCATGAGCCTCGGGCTCAGCCTGTCTTGTGATAAGACTTGGAGCCAGACACCCCTGGGTGCCCATCTCAGCTCTACTTCCTCTCAGCTGGGTGACCCCAGCCATGGCACTTCCCTTCTCTGGACCTCATTTTTCTAAACTGCAAAATGAAGATGGCAGCACAATCCTTTCCAGCCATGTACCAGAGCAGAACCCCGTGGAAACCGGAAGTGACATAGTGTTTCCCAGACTCTGGGCATCTGCGTGTCATCTTCCTACTTCCGCTGTCTGCATGGACTCCCAGTGGATTGAAAAGACTGCCACGTGTACCCTGGAGAGCCAGTATTTCATGTTACACATAGAAATGAACTTTAAAAATCAATACGAGCCGGGCGTAGTGGCTTATGCCTGTAATCCCAGCACTCGGGAGGCTGAGGCAGGTGGATCACTGTGAGTTCGAGGCCAGCCTAGGCTACAAAGTGAGCTCAAGGCCAGCCTGAACTGCATAGTGAAACCCTGCCTCAAAAAGACAAAAAAAAAAAAAAATCAATATGAGAAAAACAAGAGGCCGGTAGCATATTCTGGATAGATCCTGTTGCCTGCTCTAGGCTCTGGGCTGATGCCCCTTGTGGTTGGCCTTCGCCCATATCTCTGTCTCTGTCTGTCTTTGACTCTGTTTCTGTCCCCCAAAACAGGCCAAGTGAGGCGTTAAGGCATACTAGCACTAGCTGCAACTTTCTCTTTGACATCATCAGAGGTCAGAGAAGGAAAAGGAGAATAATCTATCTTCTGTGGTCTCTGTCCTGCTCCAAACCCTGTCCCAAGGCACTCAGGGGCACTTCAAGTGCTCTTGGTGGCCCGTGCCTCACTGTAGAATCGGGCCAGGCTGGACATGTCTGCATTGGGAAGAGCAGTCTAGTTCCCCTTGACGACTGTCATCCTGTGGCTTCAGGGTGGTGTGGGTCATGTGGGGGCTCAGTGACTTACTGGGGAGGGGCCCTGGGACTTCCCTCAGCCTGTGCTGGGTGCCGCCATGAGGGAACCCTGGTGGCTTCTGCTTTGCTTGAAGCTGAAGCTGGCCCGTTGTCTCCTAGCATGTGGTGATCCTCCTCCTCCTCCTCCCCTTCTTCCTCCTCCTCCTCGCCTTCCTCCTCCTTGCCCCGCTTTTCCTTCTCCTCTTCCACCTGCAGGGCTTCCGGGAGGGACTTCACGCTGAGATACCTGCAGAAAGAACAAAGAGGCTGTGGCCTCTGCCCAGGGGAACAGCTGAGCCCCAGATGCCCTGTGAGCAGACTGGGGCCTCCCTTGGGGTGGGAGCTCACCGCTCAAGGAGGCTGTGGAAGTCCTGCTCCATTCGCAGTTCCTTATGCCTGAGAGGGGCAGGGAGGTCTCTCCGGCTGAGCTCTGTCACGCTGCTGCCAGGGCTTCCTTCTCTGTCCATGTGCAGGAAGCCGGGGCTGGCGGCAGGCTGGGCCTGAGAGATGGGGCAGAGGTTAGGCATGGCTTGCTAGCACCCACCAGCATTCAGCTCATGCTGTAGGTTGCACAAGATCTCAGCCCGCCTCACCAGCCCACAACTCTTTCAGGGTGTGCAAATCACAGAGACCTGGCCATGTGATCTGCAGTACTGGCTGCCATGAATTGAAGACCTACTGTGTGCAGGCCCCAGATAGACATGACTTCTCCCCACTGCCACCTGACAGGAAACTGTGGCTCCAGCAATTTGTCCAAAGCCACATAGTAGCTCATCCCCACTGGCCCCTCAGTACTTCAGGTGAAAGCCTGGGAGCATCCGTGGCCCCTCCCTCTCCCTAGCCCTCCAGATCTAGTCATATGCACCTTCAAAACCTTGCTCCCTCTGCCCTGCCACCTCCCTTGCCCCAGACTGGTCTACAGATCTCCCATGACACTCCCTGCTGAAAACCCAAGAAGAGTTTAGGACCATGTCTGTGGCACACCCTCGATGCTACCCAGAGTCCCATGTCATGAGGCCCCTGCCTGCCTTCCCAGCCATATCTCAGACCATCAGCCCCCTCACTTGCCGTACACTGGCCACAGGGCCTTTTGCTGGGACAATTTCTTTGACCTCCCCACAACCCGTTCCTGTTGGCCTGCTTCTGTGCTCAGAGAAGCCTATAATTCTAGAGCACAGATCAAAATGATCATTACTCAACTGTGTAACTAGTTCAACTATTCAGAAAATCCCATGAGGGTGGAGGTCCCCTTCCCCACCTGTCCACATCCACCTGAATTCCCACCATGTGTCTCAGGGTTTGGTCTGCGGCACACATTTCAAAGTGGTCAAGTGGTAGCAGCCCACTGCTGTGGACAGAGGTACCTCCAGGTGCGGGGTCTGGACGGCTGGCGTGGACACGGATGTTTGTTCCGCAGGAGCAGCCAGGGGTGCTGGCGGGTGGTGGAAGGGTGTGACCGGGGTGCTGTCCAGGGCTGCGTCTGCCCCCGATGGCTCGGGCTCCTTCTGCGTCTGGTCGACATGGTCCTGCAGTTCCTCCAGGCGGATTCCCAGGTGATAAATCTCTGCCTCCAGCTCCCTGAATGGGCAAACATCAGCACCTAGGGCCCGGGGCAGCAGCAACACTGGGCAGACCCAGGAGACCGTGCCTCAGAGCAGCGGCCCTGGGCAACACCCATTTGGGGTCCACGTAAAGTCATCCTTTGCTGATGCTGAGAACTTGAAATAAACAAGATGAAGGAAAACTCTACTGGACTCAGGAGCCTTAGCCCTGATCACCTCTAGCATCCCCAGGCTGTGAGGCCCTAAGCAAATCTAGACCCTCTGCCTCCCTTTCCTCATTGTCTACCCAGAGGCTTCAGCTCTTATCTCCGAAGTGCCTTCTCATGGAAGTGCATAAAGGGACACAAATCTGAGCTTCCAGGTGTCCCACTGTTTGGGTGTGTTGCTAACCGGCAGGTGCTTTCTCTCTGCTCCCCTTGGGTACAAATTAGGAAGCAGCACTTTGCTCCTGGTGACTGTCCCATCTGTTCCCCTGCGCCTGCCTCCCCGGCAAGTACCTGCCAGGATCGAATTTCCGGGGTGTCGTCTGCTGGGAGTCCTGGGAGTCAGCAGGCTGGGGGGCAGAGGGTGGCTCCCTGCAGGCCATCAGGTACCCCTCCTCCAGTGCCGCGTGGGCAGCCCTCAGCCGCAGGAAGCCCTGGAACAGACAGGCCGGGAGCGCTGAGTGCCCAGCCCACAGCCCGGGCTGCAGGCACAGTGGACAGACAGCTCCTGGGGCGTGAGACTCAGTGGGACCCCCAGGGGATCGCGGTGGGGTTGGAAACCTCTGGATGCTGCCTGCCTTGGGTGAGCTCTCTGCCACCAGAATCGTATGGCAAAGGCAGGACTTAGAGCTTGGCACCAGCCCTTCCTGGGCAGACTGACAGGGACCAAATGCAGCATGGCAGTTGCTGTGTCAAAAAGATTTTCACCACGTCCCTATGAGCGAGTACTTAAGAGGCCCTGGATCTTCACTCACAATTTGCAAAACTGCGGCTTTGTAAAAATCAATCACGTCACTCTCTTCCCAAGTCCTTATACCCTAGAGACAGATGACGCTGCCACAGCACAGCCTCTGCCGGGTGACTAACACTGGCCACAGAGGCTCTGTGCTAAAGCACTCTGCATTTCTCCGTCTGCAGCCCAGTCCTAACCAGAGGGATACTTCCTCACCTTCACTCGGACCGGATGCAGCTGAGGCACAGAGAGGTTATTCAGGTCAGTGAAACTCTCACAGTATCGGCAAGTTCTACAGCCAAGTTTTGAACTCAGGTCCTGTGGCTCCAGAGCTCATGGTCCTAACAGTTATGCTAGGCCCCTGGTAAACGTGATCATAGTTAACCCATGGCTAAGGCACAGGAGGTGGGCTCAGTATCCCTGGCTTCCCATCCCCTCCCTCCTCAACTCAGGGCAGACCGAGGCCAAGGGCAGCCCAGAATCTAGTTCCTAGCCACGCGTGGTCTTTCAACAGCTCTCAGCCTCCCTGGATATGGGGGAAAGAAGTCAGAGAATGGACAATATGAATAACTTTTGTTGTTGTTTTTGGTCATTTGTGGCATTAGAGGGATCCGGAGGACATTACCCTAAGTGAAAGAAGATGAGCAGGAAAGGACAAATATCACATGCTCTCCCCTATAGGTGGAAGGTTAAAAAAAAGTCTGTCTCACAGAAGAGAATAAAATAGTGTGTTCCAGAGTCTGTGGTGGGAAAGGGAGGAGACAGACCGTGGGATCAAGCTACAGAGAGTAAATCCTAGTGGTCTATAGGCCGGGGGGAGATACAGTCCACAGCAACTTATTATAGTGTATAAAGAGCTAGAAGAGAGGCGGGTTTAGGCTCCCATAAAAAGTGATAAAAGCTTGGGGATTTATGCTTACTCTGCTTTGGTCATTACATGGTGTGCACATGTATCAAATGAGCACACTCTGCCCCACGATTATGGACAATTATCAGGTGCCAAGGAAAACTTTTTAAAAGGAATGATTTTGATCATCCATCTGCTCAATGCTACACATGACATGCATCAGGCTGTAGCTGGGAGATGTGTGTGACGTCCACCCAGCAGCCTAGGAAATATGCCACAGTGTCTCCTTACGAACCAGGGTCGTGCCTTGGCCGCTCCAGGCTTGAATCCCGTGTGTGCTCTGTGCCAGGCTGCCTGCTGGCTGGGTCCATCCATTTGGGGTGAGGATAAGAGATCTCCAAGTGGGAGGAGAGAGCTGGGGAATGGGAACTGCTCCAGGGAGTCCTTGCAGGGTCCCCTGACTCTGCCAACACCCGTGCCATCCCTGCCTTGGACCCTCACCCTCCAGCTTGAGAGCCCTACTTCCTCCTTCCTGGGACCCTGGAGGCAGCAGAAGGCTGTGTTGCATGTGTGTGGCTGTAGTTATTGGCAGTTCCGAAGTCCAGAGGGAAAAGAGCCAATCACAGGTGGACTAAGGGCCTCCTCCCCACAGTGGACCCTACTTTCCAAACTTTTGGCAACCACTTTTGTGACGGAAAGAAAGGGAGGGCTAAAAAAAAAAAAGCCCTTTTCTGGTGGCTAGAAGGCGGGGCCTTCAGCAGGGGCGGAGGTCACGACCCTGGAGCTGGGAGGCAGGCAGACCACCGCCTGGCCCGTGGGTTGCAGCAGCATCGTGGCTACCCAGGTAATGGCTGTAACTGCCTCGTGGGGCGGCACATGAAGTGCGCTCCATCCAGGGCTGACCGTCACTGCATCTGGCTCCCCACCATGAGGCTTCACGTGTGGGGCCGCTGTGATCTGGGGGTCGTGGCCTAGGAAGCTAAGTGGGAGCTGTCTGCGCTCCAGGGAACCGCTGAAGCCGGAGCCCTTGTCTGTCTCCTGCAGCTGGGGAGGCTTCCAGGACTCAGCTTTGGGACAGGTCTCCTGCATCAGGCGGTACCTTGAGTTGGTCTTGCGGGGGGAGCTGCCCCGCCTGCATCAGTCCCTCGAAGGATTCCACCTGGACACCAGGAGAGAAGGAAGCAGGCTGTGTTAACCTAGACCCTGGGTCCCACACTCAGCCACATTCATGTTTTGACACAAAGACCTGGGTCTGGCCTCATGGCTTTAGGGTGGGGGTTTCTGCTCAGTAGAGTGGGTGCTGGAAATGGGCTTTTCCCCTGGAAACCTTGGGAAGAGTCAAGGAAGTTATTAACAATAAAGCATACTCATCCCAAGCAGGAAGACCTGTAAGCAGGGGAGCAGGCAGAAATGGCCTGAAATGCTCACCCAAGGAATAGTATGCAGCCACCAACAAAAGCAAGGCAAAGCAGGTGTTCTCA